CATCTTTAAAGTTGTCCAAATGAAGTTCTTAGCAATGCATATTGCTAATATTAAATTAAGTTTTGATATATTTACGGTAGGAAATTTACAAAATATCTTTATGGAACATGATCTTTACTTAATATCCTAATGATTTTTGGCATAAAAGAAAAATCTATAATTTTGACCCATACAATGTATTGTTGGCTATTGCTTCAAATATACCTGTGCTACTTATGACTGGTTTTGTGGTCCAGGGTCACATATAAGGTAAAGATAATAGATGATATTTTAAAAATTTGCTTTGACTTTAGTACAATGACAATATAAAATCCATTTAATTGATTTTGGAAATAGCATGTTGTCTTCTTATTAAAATCACAATGAACATTTTCCTCACACATTATAGAAGGATTTAAACATGAAAATATATAACTGTCTTTATATTTTATGAATGCATATAATATTTGAGTCCTTAGCATCAAACAGTTTGAAAATTATAAACTTATTATAAACTCTCCACTGTCATTAGCTTATCCTTTATGTATGTATGTATGTATGTATGGAGGCCCCTCGCCTTTTTCCAAGATTAACCAAAAGTGCCCTTCTCTCAACAGTTATCAACAATATATTGTGGTCAATATTGTGTGTACAAAACAGAAGCTAATGGCTCAAAATTTTGAAAATTTCCTGTTTATTTTTACTTACATCTTTCAGTTTGAGACGTCTTTGCCATTGTATTGCTATAGATTGTGTGCATCTTAAACAAGCTCAAATTTCATTGGACAATGTGAATTGGAGCAGTATCTTCCCGGTCTGTTTTCTGTTTTTTTTTAACCTGCCTAAAATAGCAAAAGTAGAAGAAGTGGCATTAATTCTAAGTAGTGTTTAATTTACTCTTATTTACGTCTGCATATTGATATAGTGTTTACTGTTAAATGAAACTTGTTGGTTAAATGAAGCCCCACCCACAGACCTATTATGTGAAGTGTAAACAGTTCAAGTTCAAGAACTATTATTACAATTTAGATAATTTGCATATAAGCAGAGTTACATAATCATATATTTGGAAATACTACTTTTATTGTTATTATTAATATTATTATTATTTTTTGAGTTATGATTTTAATAAAAACATTTTAAAAAAAACAAGCTAGGGACTTGGTGCACAGGCTTAGCATATTTTCCATTTACCACTGGAGCTTTGACAAAATGTTGAATGAGAAACTGACAGGATCAGCAAAGCTGTGGTCAACCCCTCCCTTTAAGAAAACACCATATTCCCTTTGGCAGTACTGCTTTTCAGGCATCTCAGACTGCTTCCTTTCATTTTAGCCATAGTTTGCAGGCCGCCCATTCATCTTTTATAGCAAGCTGAGCCTTGTATCAGTTACACATATTAAATAATGCACCAGCACTTGTGTTATTTAACACTTACTGTGAGCCAGTAACGGATGTGCCTGTGAGGGAATGACAGGGCTTCAGATATACAGAGCATATGAAGCTTTATCCCATACATCCCACAAATACAACAGAGCCACAATCTATAACAATGGCTGCTATGACTAATTCATTGACCAGTGCAGGGCAAAACAAAACTGGTTTCACAAACTTGTGTGGCCTGAACTAAAGTTGTAACTGTTGCAGCTTTAAGCATTCTGCAAAAGGTAGTATTTATTTGTATTAATATTTATTTTCACAATGACAGTGCTTTGACCACTATTGTCATGGAAAAATAAGCAGTACTGAATGTATTTTAATTGAACACTGATGATATCTAAATATAAACTATATATAAACTGATATCTGTCACAGCCTTGACGGTCTTTCTATAAGCGTGAAATCATAATTTTGGTGTCAAATGTTGAAAAAAGAGATTTATAGAAGTATGGGTGAAACCTTATACACAGGAACACGGTTGTGTCATTTTTCACAGTCTTGTGGTAAATACTTTCAAGCTTCTTGTAGAAATACCCTGAATCGGACATTTATAGAGGAAATGATGAGGTGGAGGCTGAAACCTTCCTTTCCCCTTGTGTTAAAATGATCTCAAGTACAGAGACATGTAAAACCAGAGGCTGATTAATCCCTTTCTTGAAAACTGTTTTGGCAACACTCCCTCTATTTATGAAAAACACACAATGTAAATCTTTGGAAATATAAGAAAGAAACTAAGAGCAGTCAATGATTTTGCCCTCTTAACTTTCTGTATAGTTACGTTGTTATGGTGGTTGAATTTTCTTAACTAAAATGTATTTTGATTTTCATATATTTTTTAAACCTTGTCTTCAGACCAGATCAAGATATAGATGAAAATAGCCTATGTACAGAACTTAAGATAAATCGAAATATATCTCTAAAATACTAATCTAAAGAAACAAGTTCTGTCTTGCTGGCAGAAGAAAGAGGCTGTAATTGTTTATATCTATATTCTTCTTTTATAAGGTTTCACAGCTTTGTCCATACTCTGTCAATGTCAAGCATTTATAAAATTAAATACGGGAAATATCCACTCAACCAATATTTATTTATTTAGTTAGTTATTTCATGTCTTGTTAGATAGTTAGAGACAAACCTCCTTATTTTGACATGCTGGATTATTCACTTGCAGTTGCTAAAAATAACCTTTGTAGTAATTTGCTGTGAAACAGCAAGATTTCTGTAATGGAAATCAGGGCTTTTATTTATTTATTTTCTAAGCAAGGGCGTAGAATTTAGTAGCGACGCTAGAGACATGCCCCTACCAATATCCAGTGTCTAAACTGTCCCTAGCAATAATTTTGATCAAACAAGCCCATGTAACATGTGATATTAGGCCTACTTGACAAGTTAAATTAAATAGAAAACCGTGTGCTTTTAAGGACGGACATTTAATACATGCATAAATTAACATCCATGTGTGGAGTAAGAACATTAAAACGTGTGCACAGTTCGGTTGAATGTTAGGCCTATGTTTACCCTCTTTAAAACTGAAGTGTGTGTGGTTTATCTGTAAATCAGATGCACGTGAAGGTTGTGTATGTTACTATAGCAACAGTAGGGTCCCAGGTGAGTTGATAATACTCTGATGCTGCTTTAATGTTGTAGTTTTTACATAATCCATAATCAAAATTGTGTAATTATTGTCTGATGAATATGCTAACATAAACAGCTCTCTTTATTCATTATGAGTATGTTAGCTAGGCTACCATAAATGTATGTTGGCTACAATAGCAATAAACTTTAGATGACATTAAACT